TAGAAGGATCAAGAAGATAAATCGGGAGTAATGGATGCATCTTTGCTACAGTGATATCGAGATGAACAATTTTACACGATTTTTGCCTGTCCGTAGCGAATCAATTAAGTCGGCCGACTAAGTTAAACTTCTGTAGTTAATTAGTATTTTGTTTACGTAAGTTCTAAAATAAGAAAAACGTTTTTGAAGGATGTTGAAAATGGCTCGAAAAGTCAAAAATGAAAATTTGCCTTTGTTTATCTACCTAGTCAAAATTTTATAATTTCCACAAGAATTATGTGACAGCCCTAGGTGTGAGGCAACACGTGCATTCAAATGGAATGCAAGTATTCAAATATGAAAGGTGTGTACGTCTTTATATTCATAAAATATTAAATCCGTTCACAGATAATTTATTATCAAAAGGACAAGTCTAGAGACAACTTTCCTACCAATTTAATATTTATTTAATTATTTACATTAACGAGCAGTGTTGGCCTAGTGGCTTCAGCGTGCGAGGTGGTAAGTTCGATCCCCGGCTGTGCACCAATGGACTTTCTTTCTATGTGCGCATTTAACATTCGCTCGAACGGTGAAAACATCGTGAGGAAACCGACATGTCTTAGACCCAAAAAAGTCACAGCTTGAATTCTGCCCAAGAGGATAATCATAGCAAGCCCATGATCACGCATTTTAGTATGCGTTGCCGGCTTGAGAGAGGCATATTTAGCTGAAGCCACTAGACCAACACTGCTCTAAAGATTCCTGAATACTTAAGTAAATTACTTTTTTTTTTAAAACCACAGACTCGTCGATTCTCCTGATATAATTGTAGCTTTTTAATAAGTTAGGATTAAACGTATATATCACAGATTACAATCAAATATTCAAATTCGCTGTGATAACGAATATGTGAGACGCGGTAAAGGCGATTTATATATTTGAATACACCGTTTTATCGGATTATTAATCAAATGACATTACGTCAACGTCACCTATAGTCTTTGTTATGTTTGGTTATTAGTTCTATTGAGCAGTGTTGGCCTAGCTTCAGCGTGCGACTCTCATCCCTGATGTTGTAGGTTCGATCCCCGACTGTGCACCAATGGACTTCATATGAGCGCATTTAACATTCGCTCGAACGGTGAAGGAAAACATCGTGAGTGTGACTTTCCTTTACTAAAAAGTCGACAGCGTGTGTCCAATTTAAAAACTATTTGATGTGACGGGATAAATTAAGTTGATTGTAAAAATAAAACTTTATTAATAATTAGACATAGACATAACAACATAACAACAAAAAATTTATTTCGGTTCGTTTCAAGTGTGTAATGCGTGTGAGCTGTGGTTGTAATTGGCCACGGCTCAGCATCAAGCTGAAAAGCAGACTGTTCCACAGCGCAGGTTTTGCCAGAGACCATATTGAGAATAAAAGTGAGAATTCAGTGTCATGGTAGCGCTATTATTATTATATATTCGTATAAAAATTTCGTACTTTTTATTTTAGTAGATAACCTTTAAAATCCTATTGTAAAAGTTGTTATCAAGGCTTATTTACTTTCATTTATAAGGAAAGGCCACTACGACGAATTTCGACGCTTTCTGATTTTTACATATACGTATATAACGCGCGTTCAAAGGATTTTTAAAATATATTTTTATAGGATAGAGGGCAAACGACGGGAAGGCCATAAAGGGCAGTCATCGTATTCCATGGACACCCATTTTGGCGGATGCGTTTCCGGCCTTTGAGGGAGAAGTACACACTTTTTTTTAACAGGAGGTCGTATCTCCCAGGGAGTCGATTCAACATATAAATTTGATATAACAGAGGGCAAACGGGCAGGAGGCTCACTTGATGATAAGTGATACCGCCCATAGACACTCACATTGCCAGAGTGCTCGCAAGTAACCCGGCCTTTTAAGAATTGGTACGCTCTTTTCTTGAAAGTCCCTAAGTCCAATTGGTCTGTTACTGCTTTGCCTTGTTGTCTCTTTTTGACAATTTACGTTTACGATGTGATTAAAAGAGATAGAGCAGTTCAAATAAATCATTGTCAGACTTTAGTCTGTAGGAGAAAGGGAGCGTCCAAGTATTACGTCACGCAATTTTAGACAGATTATTGACCCCCCCAATGTAACGCCCCGTAACGTTTTTCTGTACCCAATAGTAACGTTTCTTGACCACCCAGTGACTCTTTATACCTAAAAGTTACCATTATATGGTGTTAATTACTGGAAAGTCAAAAGTAATTTTAACAATAACGCGTAATTCAATCCCCGCCCCGCATCGTAACGTTTTACAAAAAAAAGGTAGAACAGCCACCCCATATCGTTACGTAATACTTGAACGCTCCCAAATTATGTACTATTTTTTTATTTCTGTCTGTTGACAAATGGACGTATGTCTGTGCTAAGTCTTGGCAAATTTGTAAGACATTTCTCACTAAGATTCAAACCCTACATAAATCTCTTGGATATCGCATTACAAGTCATCGATCACCAATTGTTTTGTCTGTATCACTATCAATGTAATTTGTATTGGCCTACTCTGTGGTTATGTATGAGTAATGGCGCGAAATTCCCACATACCACTGTCACAAATCAAAATGTTACAACTGTCATATCATATTTCGAAGTTGACAATTCTTGTTAAGAATTTACAACCTTCGAATTGACAACGCAACCTTGGATTTCCTCTAAGATCTAAGAGGAAATCCATCCAATTTCAACCTTTAAAAACGATTTAATGTGACAGGCTACATCAAATACAATGAAAAATACAACCGTTTAAATAAAAAAGCTTTAGTTAACACAAGGCAAGGCCTCGTATTCTTCTTAGCCGAATTAAAACCTAATAAACCTTAATTTTTTGAAGTAAAACTTCTTTAGGAGCATGAGGGTAAATTTTTAAGGAACGTCACGAAGATGTGCAGCGTTTTTGTCGAAGAAAAGCAAGAGAGCGATTGAGACCGATTTAGAGAGAGTGAGAAGGGCGAATTACCTTGTAGAAATTATATTTTTAAATTAAAATTTCGTAAAGAGAATTTATGAAATATTGTTATTTTATATTTTATGCAAAATAATTTATTGAAATCTCAAATGACGAATTGTAAATTTAAATGCCACGTGTTTTTAATATCGAAGAAATAAATTTATAATTTGTAGGTATTAATTTTCGACACATAATAAATTAATGACAATTAAATTCATTAAATTCCTAACATATCTTCCTTTTTCCCTCCCTCTAAGTCTTGGAAATCTAAAGTTTTAGATTTGTAATAAATATGAACAAGAGTTAAAAAATTAGTTTGCCAAAGAAGTTTCACTTCTGACATGTGTACTTTGTATGCACGCACTTTTTTTTAATTTAAAATTAAGTCAAGATCCTATGTTTTAAGGACATTAGGGCACATAACTGCATGCTGGCTCTATGTGCAATCAAATACGTATTTTAAATTCAAATAATTGCATCTTTGAATCAAGGATACGTTAAGCTGTTTGGAACCTTTGCATAATAAACGGATAAATATTCCGAGCCAGGACAGAGGGTTATTAGTTTTGTCATTTGTACGCCTACAGTGCAAATGTATTGCAGATAATTACCAAAAAGAACGTAATAATAATAAAATATGCTGTGTTAGTACAGTTAATAATAATGTTCGGTGTCAGAATTGTTTTTTTTTGAAGTGAAACTTCTTATGAGGGAATTTCTTTACGGAAGGTCACGAAGATAGCTACATACTAGCGTATCCGACAGACGTTGTCCTGTACACACGTCTTACATACAAAAAAAAACTAATAATGTGAACCTTCTCGACTACACTTGAACACACAAACAGCTTTAATCAAATCTGTCCATCATCAAAATCTGTCCAATGCAATATATTTTTCACGTAAGTACTATAAAAATACGTTTAAGCGACAAACTAAAGAGCAATGCGATTAAAACAATTAAATTCTTTAAAAGTTACCATTACATTATGAAATCAATTAAAACGATGTTTGCATTTAGGGTCGAATGTAAGAGACAAATGATATTGTGTCAACTCGTATCAAATTACTAATGAATACCAGTAATTCGATTCGTAATTTTAATATAAAATGTAATAAAAAAATATATATATTTTAATCTTACTTAGCGAGTGATACACTTGTCCTGGCAATCTAGAATTACAGCTCTTGCAACTACAGTTCTTGAGATACAGTTCTAGGAACTTTAGTTTTTTTAATTTACAGTTCTATTAACTACAGTTCTTGGGCTACACTTCTATCTACTTCAATTCTCGGGTTATAGTTCTAGCCATGTTAATTCTTGAGTTACAGTTCTGGCGCCTTCAGTTTTGAGTTACAGTTCTAGCAACTTGAGTTCTTGCATTACAGTTCTGGAAACTTAAGTTTCAGGTACAGTTCTAGCAACTTGAGTTCTTGCGTTACAGTTCTAGAAACTCGATTTTATGAGATACTGTTCTAGATATGGGTCTTTTAAAGTCAATCAAAATCTATCTCTTCAAAGCTATGGGAATGAATGCCATTCAGATACATAGACTTACTACCATCACTTATTAAATGCTTTCTAAATCCAACTCATTGCCAAAGCTGGGCCCTCATCACTCCGCAAAATTCGTTACACAAACACGCGTACATATACACACAGCAACAAAATTATATCGAATATTTTATAGGTAAATTGTACAATGTAAAACAAACACTATCCTTATTGTAACAAGTTCTAGAATTACATAAAATGTTTGCGTTTATAATTCGCATGCCTACACGTACAGTAGATGCCGTGCAACTATGTTTGTACTATCAGCAAACACTGATAATTATATAAAAAGGCAATATATATATGTATAGCTAAATGAGTTGGTTATATGTTTAAGTAGGCATTATGTCAAATAGCTTCGAATTAATGGCATTGAGTGAACTAATAAATATTACAAAGAAAAGCCTTCAGCGTGCGATTCTCATCTTTTGCACTAATAGTAATTAGTATGCACTTTGTTGTAATTTACCTATTACCTATAGACTCGAGTCAATACTCGTAATTGTATGGGAGTGTTGGATTTGGTGGACTCTGGACCAAGTGACTTTTTGTCTATGTGCATGAATGCTATGGTGAAGGGAAACATGGCGAGGAAACCCAAAGTCGACGGAGTGCAGAAGGCTAATGACCTAAACTATAAGAAAAATTATGGAAACAGACACAGAAATGTGCCGTCCAGATTTCAAAGGTTGTATGTACCCTTTCTTAAACAATTGTGCTAACCTATATACTTTTATACAACAGGTGGCAACCAGCCATGCTATTCTGCAACTCACTTTTCGAACTCTCACAGCGGTTTCACAGCGGCGGTCGCGCTCAAATCAGTCGTAAAGCAGTCGTTTTACGATTTGGCATTCTGATAAACAATAAACTACAAGCTCCTTCCTTATCAGAGCGAGTTACAGAATCGCAAGGCTGGTAAGAGACTCACCTAATGTTAAGTGCTACTACCACCCACAATGCCAGAAGGCTGACAAGTACGTTGCCTTTTTTCTGATACCTTGATGCGTTTTAGGCCCATTTTAAACCCCATTAGAAGCACTTTCCGTGGAGGCTCAAGAGGTTTCAAAAGGCCAATACTCTCTCTATAAACAATATTTTATAGGCAGGTAAATACACTGCTTCCAAAGAGCGGTATTATGGCCTTAAAAGACTCAAAACCAACATCAAAACATCCTTACGAAGTTTTTCTTGCTAACCTTGCTTTTATGCTGTGTTAAATGATATTGGCGTTTATGCTGACTCTACCTCGGATAGAAACACGGCTTTTATGCCATGGACTATGGCTATGCAAGCAAAACAAATGTTGCGTTTAAGATTCTAACAGTTAATATAAAGAAAAAGATTACACATCAAAGCAAAAAAAATGTGTTATATTAATTTAAAAAGTCGCCATATTCAACCCTAAGGGTAACAGTTTAAGTGTTCTGAGATAAGGCTTACTAGAGTCTGACTATTTGATAGAATATTTCGTTTCTTTCGCAGGATTGGATTATTCCGAATAAATTTGTGTTTTATAATAAATACGGTTTTAGTTTTCCATGCAATGCTAGTCATTTTAAGTATCAATAGTAAAAGACTAAATACGTATAGTACTTAATTTCATAGAAATACTGTTACTATCAATGTAAAAAATAATAAAATAAAATCAAGTATCAAGTAAGTTTAATCCACAAAATATACCAAACTAAAAAAAAATGAATTTGCCGCGCTTTTTCGTTATCTTCTTTCATTATTATGTTGTGACATATGGAAATAATCGTTTCTGAATTTCACCCTTACATCTCAAATTACGCTAACGGCAACGAATTTGTTACTTACGATGTTTTTTCCATATATCCGTTTCCATGGTAACAAACACCGATATACATTTATTACGATAAACTTATAGCCTCTAGTTACTACTATATATAATATAATATAATTCCATCAATATGTCAAATTCAGCCGGATATTTACCCAATCATTTCTCGGTTACAATTCCAATTCACAATACGTGGAAATATTATTTTAACAGCGATAAATGTTTTAGTTGTTTGTTGTTTGGTTAAATTGTATACTATTTCATTAAGACCCGTCGTAATTTCATATAATTGTATTTTGTCGTACGTTTTGACATTTCAATTTGTTTTTAAGTTAATACAAAAACGAGCTACTTCATAGTTTTCAGATATAAACACTGTAATCGCGTTTAAAAATTATATATCAAATATGAGTCTGATATCTATGATGTCTTGTCTATAGATATCATATAAAAAGAATAACAACGTAATCTGTGAAAAAATGTAACTGGCTGACGACAATTCGAAATTTAAGAAAACTTCCGGATCCACAGGCTAGGAAGAACAGAGCAACAGTGAATTTTCTTATCTGTGGTGATTATTTTATGTAAGATTTAAATTCTCTTGGTATTTTGGATTCGTGTTTTTTACATGTAAAGTTTAAGTACAAATTGGGTGGGCGGTACTTCAGACCGGCTGTGACAACTTTTAAACCTACTGAAGGTAAACAGCATTGCGAGGCTGATTCAGTTTCGCTAATCAGTCCACTTTTGTTTTTAACCATCATTTAGAAACAGATGTAGGGAAATCCAGAACCCAAATAGTTTTACTAAAAATAAATCTAAAGTATTAATTCGGTAAATTGTTGTTTTCTGTGGTTCCAAATAAATCAATTTTTTTTTTGAGTTAGTGGAAGGGAGGGGGCGAATGATGACGTCATAATTTCTATAATAATTCAATATTCATGGGTCACATCAGCCACAAAATACTCTAGTATAAAGGTCAAACATATAGACACATCCAGGTCGACAGCTTGTTTACATTATCGATTGACGTCAACCGAAGGTTAGATAACTGCACACAGGTCACATTCCAATGTCGGTTCTAGGAAAAAATAATAGAATTCTAAACTTGATTTCGTCAAGGTCTGTTCGGAATCTTTCGTGTTTTGTCTGTGGAATTTAACTAAAAACTATTTTTTGTGATTTGAAAATAGAATCATATTCGTTACCACTATTCTCGATAAATTTGAAAATGTTGAATCCATTCGGATTCAAAATTTAGACGTCAATTTGAAAGTTATTAATATTCTGTAGTTTTTACTTTAATGATCCTATACCGTAAGAAATAGTTAGTCTTTTTATTTTTAATCTATTACTGTTTAATGTTGTGTTGTTTTTCTGTGTATGTATGTCATACAAATGTAATTGCCGCATTGGAGTAATAGAGTATAAAGTAATGCAAGGAGAATAAAGTATTTTACTCAAACAGAAGGCATACTTTCCTCCAAAGACCAGATGAGACTGAGATTCTGTCTTGTCAAATAATTGAGATAATGAGCACTTTCTAAAAATCTGCGTCTTTTTGGACGATTGTTTTTAATAAAAGTTCAAGATCCGCTTAATTTAGAAACATAATGAATGATAAGCATCTAAGTGGCGAAAAAACGGTTGTGGTATGTCATTGTTTTATTTTAAAGTTAACAGTTAACTTACTACTAACGAATATTTCAGTGTTGATAAAACTTTTAAGGATTTAGCAATTTGCCCAAAAATAATCTTAGCAAAATGCCAACTCTTCTGGTCGTGTCATTGTAAGGTGCCTTCATGCTAGTGCTATCTCTCTACTTTGTTCGATCTATAGCTTTTTTATGGGGTAAACGGGCAGGAGACTCACCTGATGATAAGTGATACCGCTGCCCATGGACACTTTCAATGCCAGACGGTTCGCGAGTGCTTCGCCGGTATTTTGAGAATTGGTACGCTATCTTATTGAAGGACACTAAGTCGAATTGGTTCGGAAATACTTCAGTGGGCAGCTGGTTCCACATAGTGGTGTTGCGCGGCAAAAACTGCCTTAAAAACGCTCAGTTGTGCTCAGTTGTCGAGAGTCTCGTACGAACTCTGAGTTTTGACAAGCATAACAAGACAACTACACGTTCTAAATTCAAATAAATGTTAAACAATCTCAAACATTACCATATTCATAGAGTATTAAAATTTATAATTATCTAACATAATATACTCTATGATGTATCGTTCAATTGGAAACAATATGAGTGCCCACTTATCTGTTATCTGTGGTATCTGACATTCCTCAGTTATCTATGTCTTAATGCCTTCGAGTGCGCATTATAGATAGGTAGTCATTAATTTGATATCATCTATTTTTAATTGCCGTGAACGAAAATGCTTTTGGAATTTTGAGAGAATTTATTGTCGTGAACGTTATGGCTTTCTCTATCTACCGTTAACCGCATATACGCTTATTTTAGTATTGATATATCGCTCCACATGTTTACAGCATTCCTTTATTTTTCTATATATTGAGGCAATTAAAGTATATTATATCTTACCTTATACTTACCGGATATATTTTTTAACATATTAATAAAAACAAACATTACCAGCCAAAATCTATCCATGTTACGTACTGAGACATATCACATTATGTATCACTCAAAGTCAATGTCTCCACAGATCCCAATTCGTGTTCACAGATCACGGCGATTTATATTTGATAAAAACCTTTAAATTCCGTGATTCGTTACATTGTGATTGGTCATCACAAGTCCAATCACAAACTAGCAACACTATTCGTCTATAAGTTTGACCACGTGTCATCCGTTACCATATGAAAAAAAAATTACGTCCTATTTTGCTTCTGTAGTGCCCTAGTAATATTATTTTAAAAGCAAAAACTCACCTCTAGAGCCTCTTGGGCAGTGTGGAGGTAGTCCCTCAGCATTGCCTCCTGAATGCTCAGCCATTCTAACCTCGGGTCTTCTAGCTGCGTCACCTCTGTAAAGAGAATTAGTAAATTATGAAAAACTTACAAAAAGTAATACTGGAGACTATCTAGTCTAAATTAGGTTATTTATGATAGGAGTCATGCAATGTCAGTCACATTGCCAAGGAAGCCCTCGACTGGAATCCTCAAGGCATAAGGAATCGTGGCCTGCCAAAACAGACCTGGCAACGAAGCATCATTGCAGAGGCAAAGTAAGCTGGAATTACGTGTGAAATTTATGGAGCTGTCCAGAACCGACCACGGTTGTTTTATATTTAGATACCCTATCTAGCGTTAGATATGCCCCACTTGAAGAACATGAACTTTAAGTCGAGTCATCTATTTGATAAAAGTTCAATGGGTATTACAATAAAAGCTTACAACATACAAGAATAACAATAAAAAGCAATACAGGCGAACAGCATACTTTATCTATTCTATATTATTTATATATATAAAATTCTCGTGTCGCGGTGTTTGTAGTTAAACTCCTCCGAAACGGCTTGACCGATTCTCATGAAATTTTGTGTACATATTGGGTATGTCTGAGAATCGGACAACATCTCTTTTTCATCACCCTAAATGTTAAGGGTAGTCCACCCCTAAATTATATTTTTTTTACTTTTAGATAATTTTTTAATATTTTTATTTTTTTATGATACAACATACAAAAATACATACAACCCCTAATTTTCACCCCTCTACGATCAACCTCTATTTTTTATTATTAACGATATACGTGGCAAAACGAAGAAGTTTGCCGGATCAGCTAGTAATATATAAAAATGAATTGCTGTTCGTTAGTCTCGCTACAACTCGAAAACGGCTGGATCGATTTGGCTAATTTTGATCTTGAATTATTTGTGGAAATCCAGAGGTTTAAACATTTAAAGAATAAGTAGAGAAAGTACTTAAAACGACAATTAAATTTTCCAATAAAATCTGTTCCTATTGTGTTCCTGTGTTTTAGAAATAAAGAAGTGTCACTTGGTTATCATATATTTATAGGTGCCTTCAGTAATGTGTGTTTCAAGGCCGTACGACTTGTTACGCGACTTTATTTATACGACTATTCGAAGGATAGGGTCCTTCAAGAAAAGAGCGAGCCCTATGGCATTGAGTGTTCATGGGCGGTATTACTTAACATCAGGTGAGCCCGTTTGCTTTGCTTCTATAAAAAACATATATAGCAGAAATTATTTCTTGTAAACATGGCAACACACAAAATCGACATTGCAATTTTGTCGGTTACACTATTAATATTTGATTTCGATAGAACATATCTAAACAAATATGTAAATACGTGAAGCCTTGATTCTGATTATGTTGAAAGCTAATCAGGTGTGGCTTGCATAATGCAGTTTATGCAAAGTGATATAGGTTTGTATTCTAGTCTATACATTATAGAGGGAAAATATTTTTGTAACCATAATCTCAATACAGGACCGGTTTCAATTGTCGATGAGCTGGGTCTCGTACTGGAACGGTAGAGCCTGAATGTAGCAGATCTTCAATGAAAATCTGAACACACGATTTTGTTAAGATATCAGTGGTTCTCTTCATTTCTGAAGGTGTTAATGGCGCCGCAGAACTTCCTGCACTATCCTCTGTCTTCGGCCCCTGGGTGATAGTAAGACTAGTAAGGGCCGTTACTAGAGTCCAGCATACTTGATACTTGGATCTGTGCGTGTTACATGCCCAAAAAAAATTGAGGATGCGTTGATAACAAAGTGAACAAAGATCCAAAAGTCTAAAAGTGACCTGGAGCTGAGCCTAGATTAATGCTTTAAGGCGATGATGGGAGACAGAACTTGCTGGAATTATATTTTCAATGCAAAGTTCGACACACGATTCTTTTAAAATACAAATATGCTAAAAGTAGCCTGTTACTAGTCTGTAGTCGTTATTTGTCTATGGATCATATACTCTATGATTCATAGACATTCAAGTAATTATATTTGAGTATTAACAGTAGTCTGTGTAAAATGTATCTATAAAAATCTTCAAAGTCGTGACACAAGTTTGATAAGGATTTCTTTATCTTCGCTGTTTCACGTTTTATTTGAAAATCACGTATCAAATAATAATTCTAAGAGCACCACGATCACCAAGTATAATAAACTTATATCGGAGTTAAACCGCACGTGATGAGAATGAAGCTCGTGAAAGTTGTATAATTTATCGGGAAAAACTAATAGGACCCCACATGTCAATGGGAACTCATACAATTTGACATTGGTATTGCCAACTCGGAAGTTTTTCCCCCAAAGTTAGTGGAAACAAGATGTCCAAGGGTTTCCTTTACAATTTATATTAAACCAACCAACAAACTAAACCAATTAAAAACTCCAAGCTATTGGTGAAATATAAAAAGCTATAATACTTCTCCGACTTAACAGCTTATTTTAAACGAATTGAATTTATGTATTAATTTTTGATATTAACTCTTAAACTACAACAAAAACTTTAGGGGATTTTTAATCGATATTTAGTTGGTCTTTGAACAATATGTAGGAGTTGGCATCGAGGTACTTAAAGTTGGTCTTAGGCGTTGGCATAATTGATTGGCATGTCCATTCTTGTCGACAGTCTTTTGTTTTGTACGGAAACTTTGTCACAACCTATTTGTCATGAACAAAGTTTTTTTAAGTGCTCTGTGGACGGATTCGGAACTAAACATGCATTGTCATACGTAGAAAACATTCATTCAGACATTCGAAATACATATTTATCGTATGGAAAGTCAAATCATATTGAATATGAACTATTACTTGTCTGTGATTTTTTGTAGGAGCGTGTCTTAAATACCAATTTTCCATAACATATTTTTCTTATAAAGTAGTTTATATAGCTATCATAACCAATTTTTCATCTTCTTCTTTGTATATAATAAGTAATCTCGGATAGTATAGTTTCATATTGGAAGTTAAAATAACTTCCCGCCAAAATGGTTGTAAGAGCCAGGTCTTGTTCTTGGTAATAATTTTGGTAGTTTTTAAAGGCCGAAGCCACGTCTTACGTAGTTATGAGTCGATCTTGGAACTCCGGTTGTAAGACAATCTTAAGACAATTGACCAAAGTTAACAAAAGTTTTAACAAACGTTCCTTTTTACAAAAATAGGTGCACAGAACAAAACAGTGCAAAAATAAATTAATGTATTTAATATACGACTGGATATCCCGGTGTACAGCTTTATTTATATTAAAGTCTAGGATTTCTTTTATGGATAATTGTATACTATTCGTTCACGAGATAAGAGGTGTCATTTTGAAAAATCATTGCATACATTAGAATTTGCATACTTTTTAACATGCAGTCTTTATATGGATGGTGTTAATTTGAGTGTGAACTTTTTTAGGGTCAAAACATGCATTGCATAGAGTATTCTTTGTGTTACTACACAGGGTTTGAAAAAACTATTTTTTTTTAATATTACAAAACAAACAAGGAAAGGGAAATATTTCAAATTATTCGACCTCAGAGGAGTTGTTCGGATTAATACCTGTAGCTAAGTTTCATCATCGAGGCAGAATACGAAATTCCACCCGTATCACCTCGACGTCCGTCGTTCTACAATTGAGCGTTTTTTAAGGCAGTTTTTGCCGCGCACCACCGCTATGTCTAACCAGCTGCTCGCTGAAGTATTTCCGAACCAATTCGACTTAGGGTCCTTTAAGAAAAGAGCGTGCCCATTCTAAACGCCTTCTGGCATTGAGAATTTCCATGGGCGTTCCATGGAGTTTTCATGTCACTTAACATCTGGTTAGCCTCCAGCCCGTTTGCAGTGATATCAAAATAAACCTTTTAAAATATATTAGAATGTCAAATCCCATAGTGAAAAGTATATAAATGTTTAAGTTTTTTAAGTGTAACCTTTACAAACCCATACTGAAACCAATTTGCATGCAATGACATTCCAGAGTCACTTGTACAGAGCGTGACATACAAAGTGCGGCGATCTTCCAATTATATCAATTCTGGACGCACAAGGCCGAGTGATTGCCACTCAAATCCGATTATACGACAATTGTACGCTGTACTCTATGGCATTTTTACTCATAGAGTAAGTGCCTGTTGGCACAGATTAAACGTTGCAGAAGTCGAGGGGATGATTGCAAAAAATATATATTGGTCTAAGATCCCGCTATACAACGACCTTCACCGAGATGCTTATTTAATGAAACTTATTTTATATATAATTTAATATGTCAATAAATATAATCCATATGGGTTGCCTAGCAAATTTCAGTCCAGAGTATGTTTAATTAATTTAAAAAAAAATATATTTTTAAACATTTCACCGGTATGATTATTAGATAAATTCTATACCAATCGAACGTATGAAGCCCATAGAATATGCAAACGTTAGGTTGTTTTTAATCAATTAATTATTTATGTGTATATTTTTTATGTGACACTAAAGAATATATACATCTTTAGTATAAAAGAAGGTTATAGTGTTACATATATAATACTACCCTGATTAAAAATATTGATTGAAAAAAGTTCAAAAAATTTACTACATGCAAATTATAAAAAAAAAATTTTTTTTTAAATATTAATTAAACATACTCTGGACTGAAATTTGCTAGGCAACCCATATGGATTATATTTATTGACATATTAAATTAAATATAAAATAAGTTTCATTAAATAAGCATCTCGGTGAAGGTCGTTGTATAGCGGGATCTTATACTATATGAAGTCCCTCAGACCGAATTTGAACGCGATAAACTCAAAAACGATAAATTTACAATTTTCACCAAGTAGTGATTCTTGAGAAAGGTTTAGTTGTATATATATATATATATATGTTTTATTATATGACTTGAATATGACAACTTGTGTTGTAGACAATAGAATACATTCGTATCACCTCGACGTCCGTCGTTCCAGAATTTAACGATTTCTAAGGAAGTTTTTGCCGCGCTCCACCGCTATGTGGAGACAGCTGCCCACTCATTTCAGAACCAATTCGACTTAGGGTTCTTCAAGAAAAGAGCGTACCAA